ATTTGTAGTTACACCACAGCTGGAGGGCCGGAGTTTACCTACTCCTGCTACAGTATACACAATGCCTGGCACAGCAGGCGCTGGATAGTGTCTTCCCCTTCCAATCTTAACACCATTTTATTCTAGTCCCTACACCACGCATCTATAGGAAGTAATATAGCAGTAAGTTTGCCATAATGTGCAAGTATGCTGTACACAAGGCCAAAAGTGGTATATAGAAGATCATCATGCTGTGTTCTCATACCACAGCCATGTCAAAGCACCCTAAAATTAAGAGTGACCCTATTATTTACCCCTGTCACCCTGTATGATGTACAAGACATTAGCAAAGAGGCGGGATGCTGGGCTTAATTACAATATAAACTTTATATTGTAATTAATGTTAGCCCAGCATCCCGCCTCTTTGTTAAAACTTTATATTATAAAGCTATGTGGCCATATAAAATCAATGACGTCACAGCGTGACACCTCTTTGCTTATGTGCATCTGCGGGCAGGACATTCCCTGACTATAGATAGTTGGGTTGCAGCTGAAGGAGCTTCCTTCCCAGTTCGGAGGAGCTCATCCCTTATCTTATTGTCTTCGGTATGCTTGGTATAATTCTCAGTGTTTTGCTTTTCTTTCCTATGTATATTGTCTGCACACTACCATTTCTGCTCTACACGCTGGATTTTACTCTAACTATGTGTTATTATGCCTTCATGGTACTTACATCCTGGAAGTAATTCAATACATGCTACTTTTTTTATGATCCTATAAACTGTTCTCCCAGATTTACATTTCTAAAGAAGTATAATTTATATTTCCAGACCATTTTTACTGACTAACTTCCTAACATGTTTGTGCAGATAGGCTCTCACTTTGCAATTTTTCTGAGACTCCAAAAGTGCTATTACAAAAGTAGTGTTTAGTCCTTGACTGTAATTCAGGTCTGATGACCAAGGGCCTGGAAAATGATCTATCTTAGAGCTCATAATGATAGGTTTTGTACTAAAATATTCATTGCTGTGACACACAACTAAGCTGTGGTACTTGTTATGTTTTAGAAGTATAGCTCTGACCAAAAAAAAATACAAGTGGATAGTTTTTAAAGGATTAGATCCCCTGTTACAGTATTTACTTCTACCTGGTGCTCTGCTAGAGACATTTACCCTCACTTCTGGCCCTGCTGACAACGGTTTCACAAGACAGGAAGTGAAGGGAGCCAACAGCAACACAGATAGAAATAACGGAAGGCTAGGACACCTATCAGCTTTTTATTGTTGTTTCTATTCCTGTTCAGAATTTCTGTTTCTTTCACAATATCTTTGGTAAAACGTTTGTTTATCTCTTTACAAGAGCCACAAACAATAAAGAACAATGTCAGCAGGGATTGTAACCAGGGCCATCCCTATAATGAGGCAGCCTGAGCATCTTGTTGGGTCAAGTGGGCACACCTGCCACCCCCTTTCCAGCCAGAGTTTCCCAGGTTGCTAAGAGCTAGCAACCCTGTGACGCTCTGTCTGGCATCCCGCCCAGCTGACTGATGACACTGGTTGCCAGGAGCTGAGCGGGACACTCTGGCTGGCATCCCGCTCAGCTGACTGGCTGCCAGGAGCTGAGCGGGACACACTGGCTGGCATCCTGCTCAGCTGACTGACGACACTGGTTGCCAGGAGCTGAGCGGGACACTCTGGCTGGCGTCCCCCCAGTGATGTCAGTGAGCTGGGTGGGACACTGGGCAGAGCCAGACCAAGAGGTCATCACCAACAACCACTCCAACTCCCCCGGCCTTGGGCATCGAATCCTGTGGGGACACCTTTGATTGTAACTCTTCCTCAATTTATCTTAAGCTAAAATAACAGGTTTGGGTAGACTTTACTTTAATTTGAGACTTAATGCGTAGCTAATTCCCAGAAAAAACATGTAATTTATTAAAGCATACCAGTCCTTAGATGTGGTGGCTTTATTCATTTTCTGTTTTTAGGCTTTATTTCCTTTATTTTCACCTGGTGGTCCAAATAGTAACACACTTTCTATCTTATCGTGGCTGTGCTGCAGAGGAGCAGCGTAGCCACCCTTGCACAGCAGCGTTGTTAACCTATAGAGCGGTAGTATTAGATGGACTAGTAGATTTAGATGGCCTTTACATAAGTGACTAATACATTAAAGACTAACACCAACTACAGATATTTTAAGCTGTTTTTTCTTTTGAGATAAAGGTTTTAATTGTATGAGCAAAAGCTGACCATTAAAAGTATTGTAAGTATTAAATGGTTTTGTCTCAACCCTCTAACTGCCACGTTTGCTGGACAGTTTGGCCTGTTAAAGGAAATTGAAAAATAAGTGTTCTCATGGCAGCACTAACAGGCAATATGTTACAGGATGAGTCAGAAGTTAATACTACTGACAGACTGCATCATATACACTATGTCATAATTGCTTTCGTCTACAGTTCCACTGTAACTTCAGGTAATTAAGGATGTAAATTTGTTGGATGTGTCATTTCGATTCACTATGATGCATTCGTTATGTTAGCTCATAAAAGATCCTGGAGTTTAACTAATGAAGGTCTCGATTTGTCAGCATTTTAACTTCACTTTAAATGGTTAATTTTCCTCCTCTCCTAAACAGATTCAAATTATCGCCTGGCAGAACCAGCAACGTTTTGAAGGGTATTTCCACTTTTGGAGCCAAATTGGGATAACACCTAATATATATTTGTTACATGTTCCCAATTACAAAGCATAACTTAAAAAAACCCAAAAAAACTCCAGCTTACCTTTTATTAGATGCTCTTTCTGCTAGTTCCAGGACTGAAAACTCCTGCTTAGATCTCACTGTCTGGGGGAGTTTTGTTTCGAATATTAAACCCTGTTTGCATTGTGCTGGCAGATTTCATTATCACTTGTAAACTAGATGAGCGGGACTATAAGTATTAGGTCTCCCAAAAACGTTTTCTCGTCTCACCCTTATCTAGATGAATATACAAAACAAAATGATATAGGGCTTTCTGAGATGAGAAGAAAAACCACAATAGAATCAAACCAGTTGAAAACGATTTACAAAATGTTTTAATTAGCATAGAAAATATTAAAATACCCATAAACACAACCATAAAAACAGACCATGATTGTTTAGCAGAGGATTACCAACGTCTTAAAGAATAAGACTAAACAATTGCATCTACGTATACAGAACCCATTTGGTGTTAAACACTGGATGTTGAAAAGTGATTCCACTAATGTTCATAAATTGTTCCACCTTAGATTTATGAACATTGGTGGAATCACTTTTCAACATCCCGTGTTTAACCTCAAATGGGTTCTGTATACGTAGATGTAATTGTTTAGTCTAATACTTTAAGACTTTGGTAATCCTCTGCTAAACAATCATGGTCTGTTTTTATGGTTGTGTTTATGGGTATTTTAATATTTTCTATGCTAATTAAAACATTTTGTAAATCGTTTTCAACTGGTTTGATTCTATTGTGGTTTTTCTTCTCATCTCAGAAAGCCCTATATCATTTTGTTTTGTATATTCATCTAGATAAGGGTGAGACGAGAAAACGTTTTTGGGAGACCTAATACTTATAGTCCCGCTCATCTAGTTTACAAGACTTTGGTAATCCTCTGCTAAACAATCATGATCTGTTTTTATGGCTGTGTTTACGGGTATTTTAATATTTTCTATGTTAATAAAAACATTTTGTAATTCTTTTTAAACTGGTTTGATTCTATTGTGGTTTTTCTTCTCATTTCAGAAAGCACTATATCATTTTGTTTTGTATATTCATTTAGATGAGCAGGACTGTCTGTCCTGACAAAGGTTTCAAGCCCTGAGGACATTGTATATTATTAAGCGGGGCTCAGTCTGCCTTACGTTTTACTATTGGGACAGACAGAGCTTCCTGTTACTGAAATTGAGAAAGGAACATGCAAAGGCCTGCTGAATCCCATATAGCAAGGATAACTTGCCACAAACTTGTGGCAGGGTTAAATTGTAATTCTTGTTAAAGGAGAACTATGGAGTTAAGGCTTTTCCCCATAGTTCTCCTTAGGGTAACGGGAGGACACAAACTAGCATCCTCCCGTCACCCTAGGCTCAGTATATAGGGAGCTGCTGCTCGAGGTATACTGAGACGCCGCAGCTGAAGCGGATCCCGACAATTATGTCTGGATCCGCCCAGCTGCGTGACTGACAGCTGGCTAGCTCTGCCTATCTAGAGGCAGAGCCAGCTGTACCCGCCCCCTCCCCCGTCCGTTCCGCCAGTCAGCACTGGCGGATCAGAGGGGGGAATCCAGCCCCTCACCTGTCACGGCAGAGAGCCGTGACAGGATCAAGAGGTGAGCGAACGCCGGTATGTGTTTGCTCACTTCCCGCTCTACTGAGCCGACCTGTGATAGTCTCATTGTCACAGGTCGGCTAGAACTATGAGGTGAGTGAAAAGCACTCACCTCATAGTTCTCCTTTAACTTGCTGCAAACTTTCCTGGCAAGTTGGAGACTTGCAGAACACTTGCAGCAGAAGTTCTAGTTGACACTTTTTTGAATTTGTAGCAAATTTACTTGGCAAGTCTACAGCAAGAGTCCTGCAGGTCTTAGCAAGAGCTCTGCAAGTATACAGCACTTTTGCAAAGCACATTGATCTGGAGACTTGCAATGCAGACTTGCGGTAATTGGGCAACACAATTGTGAAGCTTGGCAAGTCTGCAATAGTTTAGCAAGTCATTTTCAAACTTGCAGCTCAATTGCTTGCTATCTGGGATATAGACTTCTAAAAGGTAATAAATATTTTTTTAAAGTAAAATTAATGTGAAATAAGTACAAAATATTAAAAGTTTATTTGGAAATTAATAGAAATATTAAAAGTAAATAAAAATGTGAAAGCCACTGTGTTTGGCCTGGCTGATAACCTGTGTGATAACCTTAAGTGAATTGTCAGCGCTATATAAATACCTGTAATAAATAAATAAATAAATAATGGTTGTAATACATACTAACAGTTCTCTGCCCAAACAGATGCTGAATGTGGGACTCTGCCAGTTTTGATTGCACCATCTTCTGGAGAACAGGATTTATGGCCACACCTGGGCTCCATCCTGCCCCTGAACTGTACACTGCGACTCATTGACTCATGTACCGCTAACCTGACATGGCTGAAGGATGGAAACCCAGCCCCGGAGGTGTACAGAGAACAGCAGAGTTGCTGGTAAGAATCTAGATTATGAATTATTGATGGCTTACAGAAACCACTTCCAAACCTAAACTATTTAATTTATATACAGCTTACCAGTAAATAACCTTTTAACAAAAACTTTGCTCCAATCTGTCCTCTAAAGGTGCCCATACACCTTACGACTATCGCAAGACAAAAGTCGTATGCTTATTGAAAGCTCGTACAATCTGCCCACCTTGGACGGGCAGATCGTACTTGCGATCATCGAAAGCACTCCCCGCTGAGGGGCGGGCTTCTGATGACCGCAATGCAGAACGGGCGTGCGCACACAGGCCCGTTCCGCAGCTATCGGACGAGCAGGCTAGAAACCCGCCGACAATCGTACGATTCTCGGCGGGGTTTCGAGCATGTTGGTTCGACAAAAGACGTGCGACCGTACAGTAGAAACGGTCGCACGTTTTCGTTCACACTGCTCAATTCTCGTACGATCGCGGGATTTCGCCCGATTCTCGTACGAGAATCGAGCAGTGTATGGGCACCTTAAGACTAAGTTATTCCCTCATTGAGTGCTGCCATGTTGCCTTCTGCACAGCATAGGAAAGATAAGACCAAGGTGTCAATCACAGTCCACATGATAAAGACTATTTCTGTGATGGTCATATGTCACTGCTCTATATTAGTGGCATATCCATAACAGCGCTGTTTAGTCTAGTTAGAATGACATTATGGGGAAAGAAGGAGTGAGCATGAGCTAAAGTGATATTATAATCCAAATTTATTTTACGCTATTTCAAATGCTGATTAAATCACTTCCAATGGATGCTGCTTCTTCACATTTAAAACTTTAAATGTCCTGCAGAATCAGCTGGTCCCCTGAGAACTGGCCCTGATATCCTGTTTTAGGGTGGCTCCTTTCTCTTGCAGGGTCCTATGGAGCTGCCCGGGTGTGTGCTAGTATGCTGTGTGTGTCTCCACAAACACACAGACACAGCAGGGCAAGACAAGACACTCCCCCCACCCCCTGCTCCTCCCTACTCTGAACAGCTGCTGTAGACTGCTTTGTGCCTTGTGATCTTGCAGTGGACAGGAAGTTCAGGGAAGTGGAGCTGTTTGAAAACATGAGGACTGTAAGCGCTTGGGAAAAAATGTAAAGAAATACTTTGGCGGGTAATTTATAATTGTGTGATCTGGACTCATTATCAGAAAAAAAGTTTAGTGTTTAATACTACTTTAATATGCTATGAAGGTATCACTGGGTTTAAATGCTTGTGGACTGAAAAGGTTCACTTTAAATGGGATGGTTTCATTACAGACACTTAAAGGAAAGCTACACATTTTTCTCCAAAAACCCCAACCCCCCTCCAAAGAA